GCTTTGCGAATGAATGGTATATAGCGCGAGACGATATGCGTATTTTCTATGTGTACCCGTCGGGAGCTTTGCCCGTGCGGCTCGCCATGTCCCAGTGCTGGCAGCTGTACCTTGTCGGCCTTGTCGGAGACGGTCGTGCTTCGTGTCGCGTACATTTGAGTAATGCACAGTACCAGAACCGGTACCTGGTGAGGCTTAAGGTTTAAGGTCAAGAAGCGCCGGCAGGGGACGCAAAAGCTAATGCATTGCCCTCGCGCGCGGCACGGCTGGATTGCGCGCAGGTTGAGCCATTTGGTCGCGATCTTTGGCACGATGAAGCAGACGATTGCACTGCAAAACGAGGTACTTATATTCATATACGTGTCGGTGTGGCTTACACCCTGGCTTACATCATCGTGACGCCTGCGATGCGCGTTGACTCGCGCTCCTTGGCGGCGCAAGCGTGCTTTCGGCAGTAGCCGTTGCTTTGGCTCTTCTTCTTGCAGTATCTTTCGCGGCACTTGGTCTCGGCGCCGTGCTCTGCGCACAAGCCTGCGCGACGGTCTTGTCGGTTGCAGCCGGGTACGAAGCACCGCGCGCCGCCGCCATGCGCGCGGCAAAGCCCATTGCCTTGGCTGCTGCGGTGGCAGCCACTCTCGCGGCACCGATCGCCGCCGCCGTGTCGCTTGCAGAGGCCGCGCGACTGCGCAGCTTTCTCGCACGACTCGATCGAGCAGCGTCGCCCGCCGCCATGGGTGATGCAATGGCCGCCGCCTTGGTCACTGAGCCCACACCCGGGCGTGTTGCAGCGCCGTCCGCCGCCATGTCCCTTGCAGAGGCCCTTGGACCGCACCGCGCGCGCGCAACCGGTCACGGTGCAGTAGCGTCCGCTGCCAATGATTGCCGGCGGCACGAGGTGAGTCGGTGTTGCACCCAGCTGCATCGGTCGCAGTTCCAGCGTCGGGGGCGCCATTTCCCGAGCTGGCAGCAAGCTTAGTTGCGGTGGTACTACGTTGTACCAGTCGATGGGGTCCGCAAACCAGCCGCAGTTGGTGCACACCGCCGGTCGCCACCCGTCGATGCCCGTCGCCAAACTGCAAACCGAGCAGCTCGTCACGGCACCAGGACGCGTCGCCACGTCACCAAACGGCAATCCATCAACGTGCCACGTTGGCAGTTCGTAGGACGGCAGTGACTCGATACGCATCACGTCAACGGGTGTGCGACTCAGCATCTTGCTCACGCTCCAAGGGTCGCACATCGTCGTCGGGGTCATCGGGTTTATCGCGAGTGCGAGCAACTATGAGCGACCGCCGTGTCCAACTCTTCATCTTACCACGCACATACAAACTTGCATAGGTTCGAGTACAGTAGGGGCACCTCGGCGAGGTGGGTTGCCTCTTTTGTCACTTGATGCGGGAACGCCAGCACTACGGTCCCGTCAAGAGTACATAAACTTCATATTGAGTATATATGTACTCTTGGGTCGCATCGACAGCAATAATGAAGCGCGCCACGCAGCTTGAGTGAGCGCTCCAACGGAGGTGGCTTCTCGCCCGGAAGCACGCCAGATGCGATTGGCCACCTTCATGCGCCACAGACACGTTGCGCTTGACACATATCATTCTCCGACGATATTCCGTGCAGGCTGCTTTGGGCGCTCGACGAGGCCGCACAGGTAGGCCACACCGCCACACTGAAGCAGCAGCTCGTCCCGAGCCGCTCATGTAGCTTGAGCACCGTCATTAGCAAGTTACGCCGCAGCCGACAGATAACGCAGGAGTATCTGAGTCGCTGAGTCTCATATTCTCTGTGGTGTATCCGAGTCTCTGGGGGTCGAAGGATGCACCCGCCTCCTCGCCTGCGCAGCTGTCGTGCTCTGTGTCCGTGTCTTCTGGCTTGGAGGTATCAGCGTCTTGTTGAAGCTGGGAAATTCCACCGGTTTCGCACAAATTTTCCACTGATTTCCCACGCACGACAGTTACACGTCCGGTTACCGTATCCGGGGCGTCATTTTGCGCGAAGAAGAAGCATGACCGGGCACCATGGCCTGGGGCTCTCGCGGGCCGAGGTAGACGTCCGAGGAAGGAAGCTCCATGAGGGTCAGCATGATCATGGTAGATCCTCCGTCGCATCCAAGACGTCTTCCAAGCGTTCCTCGAAGACCTCATGGTACGCTTCCTCGCAACTTGACCTTCACATGGAGCGAGCGTAGAACGATACCTTTACGACCTTCCACACGGTATCCTCTCGAGATCCTCAATGGCAGCATGCACATGCTTCCTGCTGTAGCTCAAGCGCGCGACGAGCGCCATGACCTTTGACTGTGACGCCCTCACGCTCTCCCATGGCGGCGAGAAGCGCGCGATCAAGATGGCATGTCCCGAGGCCCATGAACAGCGACCTTAGGATGTGGTAGACTTCTGCAAGCGCTCGCAAGTACACGGGCATGTGGCTCGTGCTGCAGATCGCCCATCAGCTGCTGCTCGAGGACAAGACAGTGACCCAGCGCGAGCTCTACTACCTCCACCCGTTCTTCACGTCGCAGCAAGAAGCAGATGAATGCATCCTCGGTACCGTCTTCTGTACGATTTGCTTGCTATATCCATCATGTCGATGTAGATGTTAGCGGTCTTCTCTGCGTGCCCCGCGAATGCTTGAACATCATCGGCGGCGTCAAGGGCTACTTCACCGGCCGTCTCTGCTATCGCGTACATCCTCCTCGAGCGAGATGCGGCTGCAAATTGCTGCATTTAGAGCGCAGACAAGCAGTGGATTGACTGCAGCCTCAATGGCGCCTCTGGACAGCCCATCTCACGGGAGCTACTGCGCCTCGAAAGCGAAGACATGTTGCACCCCGATTCCTTTTGTACTACAACTCTCTAGATGCCATGTAATAGGACCAGCGATGCGCAATACATCATTGTGGTCGAGAAGGAAGGTATCCACTTCCACACGTCTCGGGAGGGTGGTTAACCGTGCACGACTAGGCATCTTCAACCGGCTCGGGTTCGAACCCCTTCTCAACAACCGTTTTGCTATATGCGTCATGGCTCCTCACCAGCGAAGACCTTTTTTATAACCGCGTTCCGTGCATACTCGTGACAGGCAAAGGGTTTCCGGACCTCGCAACACGGTATGTGCATTGACGATGGCTTGTCTTTTCATATTGCGAGCGCAGGATCTTTGTCAAGAAGCTTCGTGACACGCTCCGCATCCCAGTCCTCGGTCTCTGCGACTGCAACCCCTTTGGCCTCTCGATCTTGGTACGAAAACGAGTTTGTGGACGTGAACAAATGTTGCTAGCTCTCGTTCAAGTTTGGCTCGGCGCGCATGCCCCTCGACTCGGTGGCGTACGGTACATTGACTGGTATGCTGCACGTTTCTGCAGCGTCCGATGTAGCCGTGGACATGCACTGGGTCGGCTTGCGGCCGTTGGACACAGCGTTGCTGGAGCTGCCCGATGTCGTGCACACCAAGTTTTCAAAGCACGACACGCGCCGACTGCAATCGCTAACCGCGCATCCCTTTGTGCAGGTAGTAGCGTACATATCATTCCACTCTGTCGAGATCCACGATAACGACACGCAGATGGACGCTGCGTACCGCGCCGAGGTGCAGCACTGGACAAAGCACCCTCTCAAGATTGAGCTCGAGGCCCTGCATACAAAGGGCTTTGGCTTTATCACCGAATATCTCGAAGCTCAAGTTCTGGCACGCAACTATATCTAAGAAGCGGCACTCTCATGCCTCGTGCTGCAGTGCTCGGCTGAAATCGTCTTCAATAAACGAGAGCAGCTTGGCCGTCTACGCACCACGATATCAATGACACTGCGTGGGCGAGTCGTCATGCACCTCGAGATGGATCTTTTGGCGCTTGAGAATGTCGATGAGTTGCATCTGCTGCTTGAATGCAACCAAAAGCTCGGCCTGGACCACATGGTATCAACAGGAGAAGAAGATGATGCTACTGACCTTTTGCTTCTCAAAGTGCTGGAGTTCCTGGATCGCGCGGTCGTGCTCGGCCCGGGGCACAGCGGTGCCACCGCGATTCGAGCGCTCTTGGTCAAGCTCCTTCTTTGCATGGTCGAGCTCTTCGAGTGTCCGCTGGAGGCGCACTTCGTTCAGCTTTGCCGCGTGGAGATGCTGGCGCTCGTTCTTGCGCGCTGTATCCACGTGCACGGTCACCGACGCAAACTACGCACGGGACAATTGACGTTAGAACCATGGTGCATGGACGCATCGTGGGTATGGATATATAGATGCAATGTATGGACCACTTACGTCTGTCTCGAGCATGCTGTGCTTGGCTTCCTGCGTCGACCTACACGCATAATGCCTCCACGTCCTTCCATAACGAAGCGTACTGAAGCGCTTTGTTCTTATCCAGCAGCGTGTGGAGTTGCGCCAAGTGCTTGGTCGTGCTGTTGAAGTTCGCTTGCGTACGCTCGAGGTCCGCGGCCGTCGCATCTCGCTTGACCGCCTAGAGAGTACGCCTGTCGACAAGTCCTCAAACTACTGCATCGTATGGAGCTCACAAGCCGAATCTGGTTCTCTTGCAGCGTCGCGTACTCTTCGTGCAGTACGCGCAGCTCGGCCTTCTGGAGCCGCTGCGCCTCCACGTCAATGTCGCTGCCCTTGTCGTACGACGCATTGATGTCGAGGCGCGACGAGCGGCGACCAGACACGCTATGCCCGCCCTCTAAAAACGCTTCGTTGACCTTGCTCTGTCGGCGGCCGCCACCGTCAAACCGAGAGAGGCGGCGCGCGCTCACGCCCGAGAGCACCCGCCCGTCCTTGCTGCTCTCGTCGTCCAGAGAGAGCGCATTGAGAATGGTCGTGCCCCGTCGGCGCGCGCTGGTGGGCGGCGTCGCCGTCTCTACCGGGACCTCTGGGACCGCCTATAAGAAATCAGCGCTCGCATCCGTTCGTAGTTTCGTACCGGCATGGGCCCATGGGTCGGGGCGCTGCGCTGCATGCTTGGCCGCCAAAGATACTTCGAACTTCGCGACACGCGAAGTTTTCGAAGCGCTGTGCAATTTCATCACGTTGTCGAGCGAGTTCGAAGCGGGTGGAAGCTTCGACCGCACTCTGTACTACTTACTGGCTAGTACTCTATACCTGCATTGAATTGAACGAACAACTTCGAACCCCCAGCCCGTCTCGAATGTGGCAGCTGATGATGAAGCTAGCGGACCGTTCGTTCCTCCGCTCTCGGCACGTGCCTTGCATCGCGGACGAACAGGTGCTGGGACGAGGCCAATAATCTTGCCGTCAGCTGGTGCAGTCATGCCGGCGTGAGCGACCGGCGTAAAGTTGGTGACTGCACTTGGTGCTGCCAAGGCTCCTCGAGTACATAGTGTAGCTTCAACCGCGGCGTGGTATCTGTCGATCTACCACGCACAACGCAGCTGCGACCGCGTCGCCACCGAAAACCTTGGCGTCGAGGAGCATAATGACGTCGGCGTCAACAACCCCTTCGTCTAGGATACTGTATGTGTATACTTGAACCAAGAGAGCGTCGCATCCATATCCATCACCAGCGGCTGGCCGATAGCAGTATGAGCCAATCATACGCGCGCGATTGACTGAGAGGAGCCAATCGGCGCGCGATGTCGGCCATCCGGACCGTGAGTGCGGCCAGGTTCCGGCGCAATCAGCTGACGAGAACCGGATCTAGCAACGACAGGTCGGCCGTCTATGTGCATTTTGCGATCGTCGTCATGCCCGCGACCCCGACGGCGCGGCTCGTGAGCAGCCAATGGCTCTTCAACCGCCTGCAAACGCTCGGCGGCCTCACGCTCATCGACAGCCGCAGCGCCCAGTGCTACGAGCACGCGCATGTGTGGTCCTTCCTGAGCCTGCCGCCGCCGCCGCACGCTGGCCGTGGCCTCTTCCTCGAAGACGATGGGTCCGACGGCTGGTCCGCCGTCGACATCTCGACACTCGCGCCGGCGACCGAAACTGGACGCGAGCGCTGGGCTAAGCGCAAGCTCACCGACGTCATTATCTACGATGCCTTTGGCGTCTACACGCCTCGGTCGTGGGCCATGACGCTGGCCAACTGGCTTCTTCAGGAGCGCCTCGTGACGTCCGTCAAGCTCCTACAGGGCGGAATGCAGAGCTTCCAGCGCCTCTACCCCTTCATGATGGCGTCGCGCAAGGACAATGGCAGCGAATCGCCGACGCCCGTGCGGTCAACGGTCCTCTTCTCGCCGTCGTCGTCGCCGACCGCCACGACAAAGACACACGCGCTCACGTTTCCTCACGAAATCGTTCAGGGATCCATCTACCTCGGCAATGTCTGGCAAGCCACGCAACCCGAAGTCCTCCGCAAGATGGGCATTTCGCACGTCGTCTCGATCGCCAAGGAGCCGCTGGACGAAAAAGTGATGCTCAAGAACATCAAGTACCACCAGCTGCCGATGCGCAGCGTCATGGCGTCGCCGGATGCAACGATCGCGTTCGTGCGCGACGCGACACAATCAGGCGGCAAAGTGCTTCTGCACTGCGTCCACGGCATCTCGGCGTCGGCGGCCGTCGTCGTCTTCTATGTGATGCACACGCACAAGGTGTCGCTCGTCACAGCTTACAACCATGTCCATCGGTGCCGCAGCCTCATTTACCCCAACCCGGCCTACATGCGGTGGCTTGTCGAGACCGAAATCGCGCGGTATGGGGCCCCCAGCGTCGAGAGTCTCTTGGAGATTGACGACCTTCAGAATGGCTTGTTGCGCGACACGCCCATCGACTCGACGCGCAAGCTCAGCGTGACGCTCTCGATGCTCTTTCGCCGCCGCTGCACTGAGAAGCACGTCGCGTCGCACATGCAGCGCATCTTTGGCGAGTGACGAACGCGGCAACGGAACCGCTCGACGCTCGCCCTCGTATTTATAATTCAAGTTTACTATTTATGTGCCACTGTCTATGGTCGCAATTTGAACCTAGAAGTAGCTCGTCGGTCGTTTTGCCCATACTTCCGAATGTCCAAGGCGAAAATGACACACTGTTTGGCAGCGATGCTGATATCTGGGCGAAGCCAGCGGAGATTTGACTTCATGTATTGCTTCTTCAGCTGCCAGTACTACTGCATCGTCATCGACTAGTCGTTGAACTACAGTACAAAGTCGCCTTTGTGCGGAGGAGTAACCCTGCGAGTAACCGGAAAAGGACGGAATTCCAAGCGTTGCCCGCGTGCCACGTCATTTTTCGAAAACCAGGGATATCTTGAAGCGGCATGTCGTCGCGGTCGCTCGTGGACCGAGCGGTACCCTGCAAGTGCTTCGTACATGGCACTTGGAACGAGATAGGCGGCACTGAACGCGGCGAATGCAGCGGCCACCGCGCGCGGGCGAAGAGCCGCGTCGGCTGCCGAAGCCGCTTTGGCGTCCGTGCGCAGTGTGAGCGCCATCACCGTGAGCGAGGCGGACAACGAAGACGACGACGAAGGCGATGTGATGGCGCTGCCCGAGAACCCAAAGGAGCTGGCAAAAGAGCTGTCGTTTTCGTCCAACTCGCGGCGGTCGAGTCAAGCCAACTGGAAGGAGACGATCCAGAGCTTGAGTCCGCGGCGCCACAGCCGCGTGCTCGGCGAGCACCCACCAAGCTTGGTCTCGAGCTTGAATCGTCCGATCGCTGCTTCGAGCAAGTCCATGTCCGAGTTTTGCGACGAGCATAGCACGTCGATTGCCGATCTGCAGGAGGCTATCAACAAGCTTGCCGCGTTGAACCGGACCACGGTAGGGTCCACGCCTCTTCCTTGTCGTGAGCACTCACTGTAGGAAAGCGCAGTTGCCACCATGCTAGAGAACATCGACAAGCTCCAAGCCGACGAAAAGGATCTCCAGCGCAAAGCGGTGCAGACGACTACGGTGCTCGAAAAGCAAAAGCACACCCAGTACAACGATGCGTCGACCTTGAAACACGTATATCCACGACGGGCTGCATGTAGAATGAGCCATGAAGCCAAGTACCTCGAAGCCGAGGCCGACGTACGTGCGCGTCAACGTTTACCGCCATACATATTCATGAGTAGCTCGCGTCCAAGACGTTTGCGCTGGACGACGCCAAGCGCAGCGAAGCCAAAGCAGCGATGGCGGCCAAAGCCATCGAGGTGCGTAAATGTTGTGTGCGAGTAGCCAGAGCGCCTGTATGTCGGTGCAGATCCGCCTTGAACGGGCACTGCAAGACGTGGAGAAGGTCAAGCGCGAGCTACGGGACGAGCGGGCCACAAAAGGCGGTCCTGCTGTACCCAAGGTCGACCATGACAAAGTCCTCCGCGATACCAAGCGGGCCGAGAAGCAAAAAGTTGAAATCTCCGTCGCCTTCTTCAACTTGCATACGATCTTATATAGAGTGAGCTCCTCGTCGCGTACAAGAAGCAAGCCAAGCTCATCGAGGTTCTCAAGCGGCAGCGAATCCACCTTGAAGTCCGACCGCAATTCTCTCGTAATCTCACTGGCGTCTAGGCAGCCAAGGACTTGGAGCTCACCGAAGCAGAGTTTGCGAAAACGGTGGATCTGGGAAATCTCTAGTCGGTATCTTTGGTCTCAGTCAATACATTTTCCTACTACGGTTGCGTGCGCGTCTGTGCTTGTGCTAGTATACACCAGTCGGTTAGAGACGAAGCAGTACACGAGGTTGAACGCGGCGCGCCTGCTTTGGCGCCGCGTTCACCGTACCGAGCAACCTTGGGGGCTGGCACGAAAGATGACAAAAAAGGGTGTATGTTGAAGAGCGACCGGTGTCCGACCTGCGGTTTGTATGGGACCAGCCCGACGTTGAAGGCGCAGAGGCGGTCAAGTTGTCAAAAAGAGGGCCACACACCGCCCGTTTGTGTCATATTGGGCCCAATATGGGGCCAGGGAGTTTGAAGTCGGGACCTCATCGCAGCAAGTAGCTTGGCTTGGTTGCGAGTGGCGTCTTCAGTCTTGAACATCCTCCGAGACAGAGACAGTAGCATGACGTGCGCAGATGACGACAGCAGCTTGGAGCAGAAGCGGCCACCGCCGTCGATGGGCCAGTCGATCGAGCGGATCTCGTTGTCGCCGCTCGTCGTGCCACGTCAGGAAAGCATGTCGATCCGCGGCCTTCTCAACCCGCAAGAGCTGCCGCGCGCCGCGTCGTCACTCAGTATTAGGCGACAAGAAAATGAATTCAAACAAGAAGACGGTTTGCCACGTATGCTCTCCAAGCGACCGCTCGACTTGCTCGACGCCGACGCCGTCTGTCCCAAGCGCGGGCTCTCGTGCAATGTGCCAGCGTGCCCCAACAAAGCCGTACGCCACTCCCACATCGATGATTCGGTCGAGATCACGAGCTGCGTAGGTCAGCAAAGGGCGCTGCATCACACACGGCGGCGGCTGCCGCTGCAAGATCCCTGGCTGCAAGAACGGCGCCAAGATGTACGGTCTCTGCCACCTCCATGGCGGCCGCAAGCAGTGCAAAGCGACGGGCTGCAACAAGTTTGCCAAGAGCATGGGCCTCTGTTGGGCACACGGTTCATTCTGCATACGGTTCACGAGCATGAGCCTCGCATTCGCGTAGGTGGTAGCAAGACGTGTGGCATCCCGCTCTGTGGAAAGGGCGCGCTCAAGGGCGGCTACTGCTGGGCCCACGGCGGAGGTACCGCGCCCGCGTCTTGGCTCGTGTCACACGACTATGTAGGGAAGCGGTGCCTCGTGGATGCATGCCAGAAGCCCGTCAAACATGGCACATGCTGCGCCCAGCACACCAACCCGGGGCGGCTTAGCCCCTAGTACACTAATATTTCCCTCACATAATAGTTTCGTCCTCGTATCAGATGACTTCTTATCCATCCACGTGTGCCACGTTGAAGAAGGGGCGCAAGATACGCACGTTAAATAGTGTCATCACCGTGTGGTGGCAAAGCTGCAAAGATCGAGGCGGCTAGCGTCGGCGACGACAAAGCCTTCGCCCGCCCGCACGACGGTGACGGGCCGCTGGAGCCGGTCGGCCCCGGGTAGCGTGCCTCCAAAGCTATGGAAGAGGCGGCCATCGGGCGTGAAGAGGAGGACACCGGCGTGGGCCGAGACATCGCACACGAGAATATGGCCTGTAGCAGCATCGACGTAGAGACCCATGGGCACCATGCGCACGCCTTGGGCCATGTGCTCAAAGACAAAGAGCGGTGTGCCAACGAGCGAAAGCACCTGCACCCGGTAGTTGCCCGTGTCGCTGACCACCATCTTGGCGTCGCGGTGCGGCCCGAGGTCGATGCCATCATACTGCGGCAGGGCCGGGACGACGGCCACGTCCCTACATGAATGTCGTCAGGTGGTGACGTCTCGAGTTGCAGGTGTACGTGGGAAGGGCAAACTCACCCGGTCGGCTGCCAAACGTGCCATAGGTCCCGAGCGGCGTCGTCGAGGCAATGTTGAAGACGGCGACGCGGTGGTTGCGCTGGTCGGCGCAGTAGACGTCTCCCTCAAAGATGCTGAGACCCAGCGGCGCGTCGAGCCCATTCGCGCGGTGGCCAAAGGAGCCAAGGACGTGCAGTGCGCGGCGCGTCACCGCGTCAAAGACCTGGATGCGGTGGTTGCCACTGTCGCTCACGAGCACCCAGCGCGTCGCGGCGTTCGGCGCGTAGAGGGCAACTGCCGTCGGCGACTGCAGCTCGCCGAGGTGGCACCCCGGTGCACACTCGATTTTGTTGCCATACGTCGCTGCCCCGAGAAACCCGGTCGGGGTCCACTCCCACTTGGCGGGGGTCACCGCCACGTGTTCGTAGATCGCAACCCGGTGCATGAGTGAGTCCACCACGTAGGCAGTGGTCCCATCGATGACGGCGCCGGCCACGTGCTTCAGTACATTGGCGTGCCGAGGCAGTGCGGCCCACTCAAACTTTGGTCCGGCGTAGTGGTAGCTGCACACGCGGGCGTTGTCGCGGTCGACAAAAGTGATCGCGTTCTGGTGGTTGCGCGCCAAGTCGAGCGCTGTTGGGCACCGCAAGTCGCGCTTCTCGTCTGCGAGTTGCTGCAAGAGGCTCGAGACCGTCGCAAAAGTGATGGAAGACGGGTGCAAGTACTCGGGCAGCCGGCGCCTCGCTGCGAAGGGTCCGCCCGCGGCTACGGCGGTCGCCATGTGATGCAACCCGACATGGTCGAGGCATCGGAGCAGTGCTGTTGTGAGCTGCTTGAAGGTTCCAACGTGGCGTTCGAGGCTCGTCGCGTCGGCGTGCTGCGAAAAAATGTACACAACACTGCCATCGTCACGAAGGACTTGGATCCGGTAATTGCCAGTGTCAGCGACGACGATCTCAAAATGTTCGTTGAGCCCTTTGGTCGTCGGCAGGGTGCCCCGGTTCACCGCGTTCTACCGCACAGCCTCTCAGTTCTCAGTCGTGCATGCGCAACACTAGACACTACCTTGCGCACGTTGGCCAACTTGACGTCCCGGGGGTCCCAGAACTGCCCCGGGGCACGCCCTTTCGACCCAAGATGGGCCACAAAGAGACCACGTTTGGTAAAGATTGCCAGTCGTCCGTGGCCCGTGTCAGCGACGACAACGTGATAGTGCGAGATGTCGACGCCGCACGGAAACGAGAGGCCGCCCGTGAGCGCGCGCGCCGTTGGCGTCTGTAGCACCAAGCCCTTGGTCTCAACGCTAAGAACTTGGACGCGGTGGTGGGCACTGTCACACACATAGAGTTCGTTGGCTAGAAAGTCCATGGCGAGGCCCCGCGGATGGCGCAAGTCGGCGCTCGTCACGACGTGGAGGAGGTCGGGCGATTGGAAGCCGCCGCTGGCGGGAAACATGGTCGCAAAGGCGTACATGTGAATGCAGTCGAGCGCGTCGTCGGCGACTATGTTAATGTAGGAACGCACGCCCCACGCGTGTCTGCTTACCGCAGAGGAGACCACCGCGGGAGATCGCCTGCAGAGTGGGACCTCATGAGACAGTCGGTGGGCGCGCTGACGCACGTACGAGGGCGGAGGGGGCGCGGGCGCGGAGCCGCTGCGACGTGAGCGGGGTTGTCTGCGCATACAGATGCAAGTCGCTCGCCGTGTCCAGCACCGCGTGTTTGTTCACGTAGAGCTGCCACCCGCGGGCGTATTCGTCGGGCGGGACGATCACGACCGCGACCGGCGTCGCCAGTAGCGGGATCTCGCGCGTACAGTAGGCGCCGAGGAGCTCGTACTGCGCTTGGATCATAGCAATGCGATGGCGCTCGCCTTGGATGATGCCGGCCACACGGGCCGCCTCGGCTTCGCGCGCGGCCCGACGCCGCGCCTTCTCTGCTTCGACTTTGGCCTCCTGCGCGAGCTTTTCTACAACGCGCCAAGTTGCGTGCGACAGTGGGCCTCACATCTCATAGAGATGGGCACCTGCTTCGATCGCGGCGCGGTCGCGCTCTTCCTGGAGCCGCGCCTTTTCCAGCGCCTCGGCGGCCTCGCGCTCGAGCCGAAGCTTCTCCAATTGCTAGTAGCGCAGTATGAGCAGCCGCGACGACGAGCGTGGGGGTACACGCAGGCGCCGCCGCTCAGCGATCGGGTTGGCTGCCATCTGCAATGTGCAAAGTGCAAAGTGCAAAGTGACGCTGAAACGTTCAAGTCGCAACGGTCCAGGAAGCACCGAGATCCTGGCGACGGCGGTAGAGCTGAGGAGACAGCGATACACACGTGGAGGCCAGCGCGCGGCGTGTGGACCTGGGATATGTCGTCGCATCTGGTTAGGTTGACGTTGATATTCTTGCTTCTGGGTCACTCCCTTCTTGCAACGTCTTTTGGCGCGCGCGGCAAGGTCCACATATACAATCGACTTGCTTCGAATCTTGACTTGCAGCAGCATGGCGCTTGCTTCAAGGGAGTTGTCTCTAGAAAGGTCAGCCATATGGTTCGTTTGGACCACCTCTTTCTGGGCTCTAAAGCGTACTTAAATGCATCGATGACGAGGATAATGTATGCAAAATAAAACATCGGCTTAAAAATATGCATCTGGGCCAGCAGACATGTGGGTGCGCCGCTGCTGTCTTCAGATGGGTGGAACCAAGTGGTGAGACACCGCATGCACGAGCTTGTCTTCCTCCGTCCCCGCGCGTCTGGGCGGCAACCTTGGTCTTTGTATCCGTTGGCTCCTCACCACTCTTTTGCAGTCTTCGCACTGTGCCAGATGGCACCAGCATGTTCCGCAGGTGGATCTCACTTCCGTTCTGCCTCCCGAGACCTTGCCTGCACACATGAGCATGTCGACGACGCCACGCCTGTGCCGCTTTGGCGGCTGCCGCTCGTACGGCAAGATGGACGGCTACTGCCTCATTCACATCAAGGAGGCCGTGACGCCCGCGTCGGTGGCGCCGACGCCGCTTCTGACGCCGTCGCTCGCGCCCTTGCGGATTGCGTCGCCACCGCCACTCGCGTCGCCCAAGCCCTCGACACCGCAAGGCAGCATGCCCATCACGCACCTTCCCGCGGTGTGCAATGGCCGGTGGCAGTGCTTTGTGCCGGGCTGCGCGATCACCGCAGCCCCCGGCCTGCCGTTCTGCACAGAACACGAACACGCGACGTTGACCGTCGACGTTGGCAAGCCGACGACCGGTCGCCGGAAGCGCAAGTCGCCGACGCCGACGCCACGGACAACTGCCCGACCGCGTACGACACACGATGCGCCGAGCTGCGACGAAGTGTACCGGCAGCAGCTCGACGTGAGCGAGCACGCGCAGATCCTTGCGACGCTCGCGCGCACGTAAACGCTCACGAGTTATGTAATCTAAATCCTAGTTGTAGTCGTTGTCATCGTGTCTGGCTTCTCTCCACCGCTCGACAGGATATTGGAGGCCGGCGAACCCGAAGCATCGCGGCGGCAGTCACACATGGGCATGCCACATGTATCGCTGACAAGCGTCATGAACTGATCACCGCCACGTGATGGCTGTGATGGCGACCGCGACCGGTTGTGGCGCCGGCAAGTTGTGGCGTGGGCGTCGTCGGCCATGTCTATAATAGGACATGGGCGTCTGCATCGCTGTCGGCAAAGCAATGCAGCCACGCACGACAGACATGTGCTGGCTTGCTGCGCTGGCTACTGACAACTGTTGCACCGGCCGCTTCCCTCCCGCGGTACACTGGCCACCGCCGCCTCTGTCCATCATCAACGACAGCGTTTACAGGACTCATTGCTGCGTCTATGGCGCCAAACGACCAGCGAGTCCACCTCTCCATTGTATCCAACGGAGAAGCACTCCAAGCTAACAAAACGTTGGGCAGCATTATCTACTGGTCGCATGCTCTCGCTGCTTGGAGCTGTCGATGACGCAGCCGAGTCCAGCAATACTCCCTTGTCAAACGATCTTGCTGCGGAAGAGGCGCGTGTCGCCGACACATAAAGGTCGCGTCCGGCTGACCTTGTACGATGAACGACGAGGGAACTGGCAGCATGGAAATCACGCAGTTTTGATCACGAGGGTGGTCGCGATGCCCTTGAAGCCACCAAGCGTCGCTTCGACCTTGACGCAGAGGCGGCCGGCGCATACCTTCAGCAGTGCGTCCCGTGCAGACGCTCGAGGAAATAACTTATTTTCTTGTGCTTGGTGGTGTTGAGTATCAAGCATGGCTTGCGTTAGTATCAAGTGACGGTTTCAAACGCTCGACGACCGCTCGTGCTGGTTTCGACCAAATTGCCAGTCCCGAAGGACTCTAACCAACAATAGCCCTGGAGTACCATACAAGTATTGGCTCCGTCGTCCAGTACTCTGGGGCCGTTGGCGAAATGGCATTTGTGGCGCAAAACGAGGAAGATTGTGGTATATCTGGGATACCGTGCTAGTTAAACGACTGCATGACAACCCACCCGCATAGCTCAGGTTCTGGGAACCTTGGCGGCTGTATCCTAAGCCTAAAGATAGATCCTGTCTGCTGAAGATCCTGGAAGGATCTTCATGCCGAATGTTCCATTGCCAACCACGGCGGAACGTTCAGCATATTGTAGTATGGGCATTTGTTGGGACGTGAACTGCAGCCACTCCCTGCCCGTTGTCAGTAGACCAAGTCCTGGAGGCTCACTTCAGCATCCACTTTGTATCCAACACGTTTGGCTTATTGAGGACTAGCCGCCTCCTAGTGTCGTGCCTCTCGTTGGATCATGAAGTTTGCTTGCTTGCTACAATTGTATGTCGGAGTAAAGCACAAAGATGTGTCCTCGTTGCGGTGGTGGAGGACCGCATTCCATTAGCCGTACTATTCAACCTCTAATCTTTCACCTTTGTCAACCTACTAGTGTCGAGAAGGACTCAACGCTGGAGCGTTGCATTTGCTTGAGCTCGCGTCCGAGCGACCTGCAGTGCCGTCGAGCTTGGTTCACGTACATACATGCGGACGATGCCTCTGCACACGAGATAATTTGATAGTCAAGAAGTTGTGGGTTACTGCTTCGGATAAAATCTTATGCGACCTTGGCCTTGGTTGTCGACGTAGTACTGCGGCCAAACACCTTGTCGAAGAAGTCGGACCACTGGCTCGAGCCCTTCTCGCGCTTCTCGCGCTGCGACGCGCGGAAGGCCTTGTCGGTCCCAAAGACGTAGTCCCAGATCGTAAAGACGGACGAGTAGTTGCCGTCAAACTTTTCGTGGTGAAAGTCGTGGTGCACGGGGCCGCCCCAGAACGGAATGTACGCCGAGAGCGCAAACGGCAGCTCGTAGCCCGAGTGGTCGTCGACCGTCTCGTACAAGCGCACGGCGAGCCAGACCCAGAGCGTGAGGAGGTGGCGCGTCAGCAGCAGCGGCCCGAGGAATGTGCCAATGCCGAGGAACATGGTCTCGATCGGGTGCGCGTACTCGGCCGCAATGCCAAACGGCGCCGCGTACTCGTGGTGGACTAGGCATATCCCATGAGTCATCGCATGTGCACACAATGACTTGTCCATACCTTTGTGGACATACTTGTAGATCTTCTTCCAGTGCAAGAAGCGGTGGATCCAGTAAAAGTAGAAGTCTTCGAGGATGAAGCTCACGAGGCACTGCCACGCAATCGTCGTCCTACATGCACATGAGCATCCTACCGAGCATGCGCAGCATCCACGTACGCTTTCGGGAGCGGCATGGCGGCCGAGAAGCCGAGGAGACGCAGACCAAAGTCGCTGCAGAGGATCATCGGCAGCTGCACAACGACGTGGTTGAAGAGAAGGCCCTTGAGGCAGCGCGACGTGTCGACCCAGTTGTTGGGCTTGGTCGGCTGGATCTTGTACTTGGCAAAGTACGGAATGTAGTCGAGCGCGAGATACGGCAGCCAAAGACCAAAGTAGAGCGCTTCGTGCAAGATAAAGGTAAACACCGAGACGATCACAAACTCCGAGTAGTTGTCGAGCATCGCCTGCCAGTACGGCGCGAGAAACGCAAGCGAGTTGAGCTCATGGAACGTCGCCTCGAGCGACGCCACGTTGATGCCATGCTCGAGCAACGTCGCGTTCCACGCTTCCATGCTCGTCTTCGAAAATGCGGAATGAAGCATCCTCGGCTGTCTTCACTGGCCCTCGCAAAGGTAATCACGCGCGATTACCAGGGACCTCTCCGTGGCGTATACCAAGTGTCGCAGGTAGCGTGCCCCGGGGCATTTTCTTGTTTGGTGGGCGTAAGGGCAGGACGCGTTTGTCGTCGCATGGACAGGAAACGACGAAGGACCATGCGCGTGTGCTGTTGCGGTCAAGCGCAAGGCGCTGCATAGACGTCGCCGACAAAGCCGCACCGCGGCTATGCACCATCGCCTGTTCGAAGGGCGCCCGTCGATCGTCGAGCTTCGAAATCCGTGCCACGACAGCCAAGTACATTGCATCAACAGGTAAACGCTGTGATTATTGCTGGCGTGTATCCTGGGATTACGTCCGCCTTGCTTTGCAGCGACCCGTCGCGGATAAGATGCGCAGTGAGTTCCCAGTTTGCTGTTGGCTGGCGCCCACACGAGAGGCATCGGACCGCCAGCGCAGTAAGCCTACGACTGGTGCATGCACATGGTTCGCGCATGGGAAGCTGCTCCATGGTGAGCCCGCAGGAGACGCGGAAAAGAGGCGTCGCGCGCCGTTAAAGGTGCGCATAGACAGGCGGTGTGCCCCGGGGTGACGTCAGGCGTGTATCCGGCGATCCGGATACGGTGCGATGTAATCAAGTGGATTAGCGGCCGTGTCATGCTTCGGTGTCTACCCAGTCAGTTTGCAACTTGCTACGATGGTCCGCTGTGCGCTGAACGTGGCAGGCGGCGCCGCTGCCCTCTCGGCCTTCTGCGTCGCTGCTGTCTACGGCTCGTCGGCTGTCAACGCGACGGCGACCGGCGCCGTGCCCATGACGCTCCTCGAGACGCTCGACGAGCTCAACTCGCTCAACTTTCTCTTGCCGTACTGGCAGTACATGCTCGACAACTACGACGAGTTTACGATCAACGCCGGCTTGACGTTCGTGCTCCACGAGATTGTCTACTTTGGCGGCTGGATCCCGTACCTTTTGCTCGACTACGTCCCGTGGGTTCAAAAGTACAAGATCCAGGACAAGCCCAACACGTGGGCCATGACGGCCAAGTGCCTCAAGCTCCTTGCGTTCAACCACGTCATTGTGCAGCTGCCGATGATGATCTCGAGCCACAGCAGCTTGACGATGCTCGGTTTTGGCATGGAGGCGCCGCTCCCGACCGCGTGGACGATCTTCTGGAAGGTCATGGTCTCGGCAGTCCTCGAAGACTTTTACAACTACTGGGCCCACCGCTTCTTGCACTGGAAGAAGATCTACAAGTACATCCACAAGCTCCACCACGAGTATGCGGCGCCGTTCGGCATCACGGCCGAGTACGCGCACCCGGCCGAGACGCTAATCCTTGGCCTCGGCACGTTCCTTGGTCCGCTGCTGTTGACACGCCACCTCCTCACGCTCTGGGTGTGGATGGTTGTGCGCATCATGCAGTCGATCGATAGCCACTCGGGCTACGACCTTCCGTTCGCTCTCACGTCGTGGCTGCCGTTCTGGGGCGGCCCGGTGCACCACGACTACCACCACGAAAAATTCGACTGCAACTACGCGTCCTTCTTCACGATCTGGGACTGGGTCTTTGGCACCGACGTCCAGTTCCGCGAAGCGCAGCACATCAAGTACATGACGGGCAAGAGCTCGTGGTCCGATGCGTTCTACAAGCTCGGCCTCGCCTCGTACGTCAAGAAGGACACGGATGCCAAGAAGGCCAAGACGGCATAGATAGCTGTGCATCTAAAAACACCATACATACTTCTACAGGCTACCGAACGCACCACAGGCTGTATTGCGAGCGACCTCTGGCCCAAGCCCACCGCACGCAAACCACGGTGGACAATTGCTGGAGCCTTCACGCTGTAGCAGAGGCACGCACAGCCCCGAAGCTCGCACCTGTATCTGGCGACGATTGCATTTTGTTGAAGTCCCCATTCGGATCTACAGGCTGCGAGTCGAGCACGCGGGTTGGCAGAGCCAATGTAAGATCCCTTGTTGGTGACGTGTGCCAAGATAAGCTCAGACAGCGTTGATAAGTGTGCATAGAAGCGGCGATGCGTGTCAATGCGCGGAGGCTTCCTTGGGTGTCGAAGGGTTGCGTGTTTTTATCCCGTTCGACTCCGCAGTTATCTTCGGCATGTGCCGCCACTAGAATGCCGCATTCAACGATGATGAGCAATGCGAGCTGTACCGGGAAGTGTACCGTACCGATACGAGTAGCATCATTATGTCTACTAGCGGTACTTCTACTATACTGGTAGGGAGACGACGAGAGACGACAACTCGTCGCGGTGGGGGCCTTGAGATGGAAACCATCCTGAGATGCACTTGCTCCAGAACGAGCACCAGAAGCAAGCTCGGGTCATGATGGCTTGGAGCAAGCGACGTCATCAGACGAAGAATACCGGCTGCCACAACAACATCGTCGGCGAGGACGATGAATCAAGCGCCGCAAAGCGCAGTCTCCTGCTTGGCTGTCTGTCGAGCAGGAGAGCTCGCGGGAAACGACCAACACTCTGTCATTTCAGCCAATCCGCGCCGACTGTCCTGACGATCCACCGAATCCGGATCCGGTTCGCTGGCAAAGCGGCTCGCCACAGTCGTCCTCGCCAGCTCCAGCTCCAGCTCTAGCATGCAAGACGTCGACGCCGCCACCGAGCCGTACGAGGCCGCGCGCAATCTCCTCGCGGGGACGAAGCGCTGCACCTACGTCAGCCAGGGGCCGCTCGCAGCCGGCTACGTCCCGAGCCTCCCAGTCGCCAGTTTCGACTCGCACTCGAACCACTGCTGCAACAGCGACCCCATCTGTCTCGATGCTGCAGCGCTATTCGACCGCTGCCGTCGCCAGGCCATCGTCGGTCATCGCCAAGAGACCTCCTTGGTCATGGCTCTGCGTTGTCTTTTTGATATAGAGGTGCAATAAGATCTGATTTGCGACTTGTGGTCGCTTCGAGTGGCGACGCGACGGTCGTCAGAGGCAGGGATCGGCAGTAATCTCAATGCGAGCGTGAGCAGCGCTGCTACAATGGCAGCCTCGAGCGTCCATGATATCTACAGTGCAGGTATATGCAACAACTGGGCTCTGTCGCTGGGAGCGTTGGAGGCGACGACCATGCTCGTACAAGAACGACAGGCGGAACATGGAATTTGTAGGTATTTAACTAATGCAACTAGAGCGTGTACTCGCGGCTTTGCCGGGGCGACATGTTGTGGTGGCTGTCCACAGGGTACGGCTTCATGGGCACCGGCGACTTGGTCGCTGCGGGGCGCTGGTTTTGTCCCTGGCCGTTATTGGGCGTGCGCTTGGCGTCGTAGTAGTCGGGGCCGGACGAGATGGCCATGACCTCGACTTCATCCTTGCTTGCGCGCTCCTGCTGGGTGGCCAGCAACCGCTCCTCTTCCTTGCGCTTCCGGAAGAGCATGAACTGCCGCACCGAAATCACAATGGAAAACTACACAAGACAAATGAGAGACGGTGCATGAACAGGATTCGAGCGTACCAGCGCTGCCACGCCACCGGCAATCGACACGAGGAGCTTCCACGTGGCTTGGCCGCTGCACTCGGGCGGGCCCGAGTAGTCGGACGTGCATTCGCACACGTTTTGCTGGTTGACAAAGCCACGCTGAGGGTTGCAAGGCGGCGGTGTGACCTTGGGCGTCGCGGTGCTGTTGCCGCCGCCACCCGCGCTGCTGCCCGAGCCCGACGACGTCGGCTTCTTCGAGGCACACGTCGCACCAGCCGCCCCGGCCGTGACCGTAATGGAGAGCTCGCTCGACATCTGCTGGCAGGCCGAGCCCGTCGGGTCCTTTCCGAAGCCTCGGAAAAGGATCACACCAGCGGTATCAAGGCAAAAGATGTAGTTGCCCTTGGCGTCCTTCTCGACTTGCACGCCCTTGGGCTGTGGCCGTGAATGGGCCGTCGTGGACGCCGTGCCAACGAGATCGACCTTGGTCACCTTGGCGGGGTCGGCCCACGTCACGGTTTGCCACGTCGCGGCGGCCATCGTGGCCTGGAACGCAGGGCTTGAGATCGTCGCGTCGGGCGCGCAATTAAAACAGCAGCCGGGCTGCTTGCCGCTGCACTGGCTAAAGTCGGTGACATCGTACGTGGCCGGGCCAAGCGTGCCTAGGCAGACGGCGCAGCACGCGTCGGCAGACTCGGCCGGCGGCGCCAAGGCGGCCAGAAGGGCGAAGACGACGCTAATGGCTCGCATGTTGGTGCTGCAAGTCACAGACTGCAAAATGCGCCGGTCGTCCTCGACTTGGAAAGGATGGCCGCGTGCAGATCCGGAGAAATAATGCGACGTTATTTAATGCGCATATTCAAACAACGCCATACCTTTTTCTGTCATAGAATGCCAAGTTGAGATCAAAACCGGAATAAAAATAGGCATCGTGTTACGCATAGGTGTCTCGCCACGTGCTTTCTCGTAACACCGCGAAGCCGTGTTGCAATAAAAGTATCTTGGGATTTGTATGCAAGCGGTAAAATAATACACAGGCGGTCAGTGACACACCCAGTATCCGGTGTCGGACCCATCGTCACTGGCCGTTTGTATGCTGCCGACTACATCCGGATACGGTGTAATAAAGCTCGAATTTTTAATACGAACACGCTTCTTCGACAAATCACCGAATAAATAAGATGGAATGATGAGCTGGCAGGACGGACGGAACCCATGGCCGGCGGACCGAGGTGATCTTCATAGTATGACGATGGGCTTAGAGCGTGTACTCCTTGGACTCGCGCGGCTTGTAGCGCCCGTCGGCGTCACCCGTGAACCGGGCATCGGACTCGGGCAGAGACGGGCGAACGCGGCTGTCTTCGGACGAACGGACACCGTCGCGCGACGCGTCCGTGTGCCGACTGCTCGTTGCGTTGACGTTGACCGAGTCGTAGTACTCGTGCGACGCCGGCATTGCGTACATTGTATCAAAGTTCTTGGACGACTGGTCGACCGGGGCGTTGGCGAGCTCATCTTCCTCGCGCTTGCGGCGCTGGAAGAGGATAAACTGGCGCACCGAGACAACGATCGAGAAGAGCGCTGCTAGGCCGCCAGCAACCGACACGAGGATCTTCCAGAGCGCCATGCCGTCGCACGTGGGCGGCCCCGAGTAGTCGCTGAGGCACTGGCACTTGTTGTCGCTGTCAACGTAGCCGCGGTTGGCATCGCACTTGACAGTCGGAGCCTTTGTGACACCACTCGAGCTGCCAGCCTGGGACGACGCGCCACCGGGCTTGGTCGTCGGGGATGTGGACGTCGGCGACGCGTCGCTGCACTTGCCCGTGCCGGCCGTGATCGTGATCGACAACTGCGCCGAGAGCGCCGTGCAGTTGCTCGGGTACGTGTTAGCGAGCGGGCCCCAGCCGCGGAAGAGCGTCTCGCCCGGCGTGTCGGAGCAGAAGAGGTAGTTGCCCGCAGCGTCTTGCTGGACCGGCGACAACATCATCGTGAGCTGCGGGTGCGACGCCGATTCGGAACCCTTGGGAACGTTGACCTTGGTGACCTTGGAGACGCCCGACCATGCGACCTTTTGCCACGTGCCTTGCTGCTGGGACGACGAGAAGGCAGGTGCGGCGATCGTGAGCTGCGCATCGCAGAAGCAGCACCCGGGCGTCTTCTTGTCGCACTGGGCAAACACGGTAGGATCGTAACTAGAGGGCCCGAGGTTGGCGAGACAGACGTGGCAGCACACTTGGGCGTGCACGAAGGCGGCGAGCAGCAGCAACAGGAGCGACCGCAGGATCATGAGCCCAATAGTCTAGTAATTTCTAAATGGCACCAACAACCACTGGACCAAGCCGGCGGATTGTCCCAGGAGTTGACCTATTTGGTTTTTTGACGGGCGTTTGTATTCAGTGCCCCTTCGAACCGCCAAGCGCCAGACGTTCGCCACGTTCTTCCGTTGGCAGCGAGGAAAGAGCTTGCCACACACAACCCGCTATCATGGGTTCTGACGTCGTGAGAAACAGCATTGCAGCACTGGTCGCGGATTATTCACAGCGCAGCAACGCCTCCTCAAAATCGGTAGCGGTGCTGCAAAGGTAGGAGCAACCTCACCAAACGCTGTCCACATACAGTACGCACAGCGCGGGATCATCGAGGTGGTGCTCTGCCGCTGCCCTTTTGTCACATCCAATACAGTGTACGGCGTTTGGTTCCAGTGGACTGAACCCGATCGGATCATTGCTGCTTTTGACGGTGAGACAGAAACGACTTGATGTTTGTATGGGTTTCGGATGGATCTTGCAATCCACTGGTCGTGCTGCAGCAAATATCTGGCCAATGGTTGCGAACCAAGCCTGTTTTCAGAGAAAACGAGTTGCGCTGGCGACGCAATGCATACACTGTATCCACGTGCGCAATGCAGCAAGGAGGACATCATTGCCCTTGCGCTTGAACATGGGAGCATGAGCTGGGAGCATGGCCGTTCGTCGAACGTGGAAGCGTCGTTACGAGAGCAACGTCCTCGTCGTCTTCTCCGGCCAGCGAAGCTTCGATAAAACGCTGGGCTTCCTAACCTTCCAGTCGCTCTCCCTTTCGTCGCCCGATCATGTTCCTGCTCGTGGTCGTTCTCTGCGCTGCGTGGGGCGGTGTCGCCGGTGACATGTGCTGCGGCACGTGCCTCAACGGCGTCACCAACTTTGCCGCCGATGCGATGCAGTACCCTGCGTGCGAGGCCATTCAGTACTGCTGCTTCAACTGCGACAAGACGCCGCTGGGGGTGCCGACGATCTTGCCGACGGCCGGCGTCACGTTCGACGGCACCGCGATCGGGGCGACGACCGGCCAACTTCTCCAAATCCAGTGGCCAAGCGCAGCGACCGTCACGTATGTGACCTTTGCACCCAACCAAGCCAAGACGGGCCTAGCGCTCGCCACGTCACCAGCCGCGACCAAGTCGGGCACGAATACCTTTAGCATCTGCCCGCAGTACCCAGGCACGCTCTACTTTCGCGGGTTTGGCGCCGACATTTGCAACTCCGTCTCGACCGAGACCAAGGTCACGGTACGACGCATCATGCAAGCTGAGCGTTGGCCCATACTCGAGTGTCTTTGCAGGTGACGGGGACGTCTGGCGCCGTGTGCTCGACCTTTCCAGCTACGACGCTGTCGCCGACGCCCAGCGGCAGTAGCACCACGACCCCTGAACCGACAAGCAGCACCAAGTCGCCCGCCAATAACAACGTGGCGTGCAACACGATTCGTGGTGTTGTCGTCGGTAAGCGCGTTTACTTTACAGCGTAGGCTTGACAGCACCGCGGTAGACGGCCAGTGCCAATGCGTGTCCGACTGGTCGGGGCCACCCGAGTGTTCGGGCACGCCGCTGTGGAAGACGCTCATCACGATCGCTGGCGGGCTTGCGGCGGCGGTACGCACGCCGCTCCTTGTCGCCTTTGGCCGAAAGGAATACTATGGAATTAGCTCTCGATTGTGATCTCGATCCGACACTTTCTCATCTTGCGCAAGACCCGCGCTGCGGCGCGCCTCTCCAACGCCGCCGACAACGGCAGCAAGCACATTGAGATGGAGGTCATGCAAATGTCCCCAAAGCGTCAGTCGTCCGCCGGCGACGCCGCGTTTGACGGCCATGCGAGTCCGTCGCCGTCGCCCAAGCACAAGGAAGTGACTCTCTAAGAAACGCGAGCGCCAATAGCCTATTTATTGCGCTCCGACCAATTCTAGTCTTGCGCAAATCAATTGTATTGTACAATTGTACAATTTACAATGGCGCACCCAACGACACGCTGTCATCGACACCTGCGACGTGGACGAACGTTGGTTGCACTTGGGACCCTACCCACAAACGCGCTGCCTTCACCCGACCGACCATGATGGGGCGCGCGGCCATCAAGCTCTAAGAACTAGAGAACTAGTACACTACGTTGACCACGAAATGTTGACTCCTTCATGCTTGTTGAATGCAAAGGAATGGCCTCTCTAGTCGATGTCGATTAACTCGGGCTTCAATCCTACTGGACACGACGCGCGTTGAGTAAACGACCAGCCGGTCGTGCTTGGCCGCCCGCAGGATGTATCTACTATAGCTTCTACTATCCTTGGACGATATGTACTATTATACTAATAGCACTAGTAGAAAGGGCCTAAGCGTCAAGCTGTCTATAGATCTTAGAGCCGCAAGCATGCATTCCGCTTGGCGCGATTGAAATGGCGCCAACACCTCGACCGCGCGTCATCCATGATGCCGTTCACTGGTGCTCCGACGCGCACGCACTTAAGAGGGTTGTACCAGCTTGCGCAGACAGTATTTCGTACTTGCGCGGACAGCGGTCGTCGATTGGGGATGACGAGCGCACTTTGTCGGAACTGCACACGCCACGCCGAGTGCGTCATCCGTCCGATTTCTCAATTGGCTATTTCGGCCCCGCGACGCACCTCGGATATGGTCTCGGACTGGCGCGCGTACGTGGCGCCTGCGAAGCGCGAGACGGTCCAGCAGCAGATCGTCTCAGTGCTAACAGCGCTCAAGCCGAACGCGCCGGCCGCCGTGCTGCAGAAGCTGCCGGGCATGGCCAAGCGCATCGAAGAGAGCTTGTTCGCGGCCGCGCAGAGCGAAGCCGACTTTACGAACGAGGGGACGCTCCAGACGCGCATCATGCAGATCCAGCAGTCGAACGCCTCTCGCCTCCTCAAGCGACCGAGCCCGTCCGCGGCGGCGCAGGCGCGCGGTCGCCGGCTCAGTGACGAGCAGTCCAAGCTCCTCTTTGCGTACCTCCAAGCGTGGCGCAACAAGACGGTGCAGGAAGAAGGCATTGGCCCGTGGGACGTGGTCCCGACGCACATCCTCGCGCAGGTCGCGACCACGTGCCCGCGCAGCATCCTCGAGCTCGAGCAGTGCTGCCCGAGTGACCACCACTGGATCCAGAAGTACGGCTCGTCGCTCTTGCTCACGATCGTACAGTTTGAAGCCAAACTGCCTAAGCAAAACGCATCGTCGTCGTCATCGTCGTCGTCGATGGGCCCTCCTGAGAAGCGCGCCAAGGTAGCAAGCCCTCGAAAGCCGCCGCCGTCGCCGCGGCAGCCGCGGCCGCTCAAGAAACAAATTGCTATCAAGCCGGGCATGCCGCCGCCGTCGCCGTCCATCTCGTCGCTCTTCCCGGTACCGCCACCCTACAACGGCGGTCTCTTTCCGTCGTCGACCGACCCGTCCACGAACGGCCTCACCTCGTTTCTCCGGAAATCGCCCAAGCTCACGCCGGCGATGCAGCCGATCATGCCCCGCGTCGAGGCGCCGCCGTCAACGTCGTACCCGCCATTGGCGCCGCCCAAGCCCACAGCCGAGGCCTCGGTGGCCGAAGACGAAGTGACACGCCTGCGCACGATGCTTATGCAGGTGCAGCAAGAAAACCTTCAGCTGCACGGCGAAGTCGCCTACTTGCGGCAGCAGCTGCGGCAACAGCAGGCTAACGAAGCCGCCGCCTGCCAAGCGCTGGTCGCCTGCCAGACCGCCAACGTCGCCCCGGCGCCGGCGCGGCCCAAGGCGACCGTCGCCAAGTCGGTGACGTCGTTTGCCTAGTCGTCGTCGTCCATGTCCTCTGTCGTCGTCGTCGTCGGTGTCACCAGCCGGTAGCTTTAATTTTATTGACCACCATACAAATCACGAGTTATTTTATTTCGAGCCATGCAGCAGCAGTCCGCAGTCGTGGCCGAAGAGGATGGCCATCAGCAGCAGCAGCATGGACCTCATCCATGGGACGACGCGCCTTGACGACCGCTTTCTCTTCCTGCGCGAGCTTGGCCATGGCATCTCGGGCGTCGTGCTTCTCGCCCTCGACACGCACCGCCAGACGCAGGTCGCGATCAAGGTGTTTGCGCCGTCGCTGCTCGTCGCGGGCGAGCTTGAGGTCGCGCTGCTCCGCGCCGTCGACGCCCGTGACCCCGACCACCACGTGCCGATCGTGTCGTTCATCCACGCCTTTGAGTTTCGCGGCTCGTTGTGCATCGCGATGGAGTTGCTGGGACCGGCCATCTTCCAGCGCCCGCGGGCGTCGGCAGAGGAATACGAATGGGCGTCCATCGTGGAGCACATGCGTCATTGTCCAGCCAAGGTCGTCGCGCGCCGTCATATGGAGCTCGTGGCGCTTCGAACCATCGTACGTGATTGTGGCGAGACGGGTACTGATGGTCCTCCTGCAGGTGGCGCAGACGTGCGCAGCCCTCGCCGTGCTTCACGACATGGTACGACGTGATGCTTGTTCGTCCCCAAGGCGTCGTACTGATGGCATGCTAGAACATCATCCACGCCGACCTCAAGCCCGAAAACATTCTCTACCGCGACGCCGCGAGAGCCGATATCAAGCTCATCGACTTTGGCAACGCGATCGACAACGTGAGCGTGCAGACAATGGCGACGGACCACGGCTTCGACATCCAAACGATCCTCTACCGCGCGCCCGAGGTGGCCATGGGCGTCTCCATCTCGTGCGCGGCCGACATGTGGTCGCTCGGCTGCATCGTGCTCGAGTGCCTCCTCGGTCAGCCTCTCTTTAACGCCACCGACCGCTTGGCGCTGCTCGTCCAGATGCAGCAGCTCGCCCCGACGCCGCTCTCGACGGTGCGTCACACCATACCTACGCCGCAGTGAGTTATCGCATTAGGTCTTGTCGCACGGGCTCTACACCAAGGCATTCGAGCGCCAGGCGACGCTGCCGAGCATCTCGCTCGACGCGATCGCCGACGCCTACGCACTCGATGC